GGGTCATTTGGGAGGGAGCTGTGTTTCAAATGGGCTGTGCTTTCACCATGAGTGCTCTTTCACCATTTTCTCATTGTTTGTCCTTTTATGTTCAAAACTGCCACTGCAGAGGCATGTAATATGATATAGACCATGACCTAAATCACCCTGGGTCCTAAAAACCAGGAGCAGATGCAGATCTGATCTGAATCAGATAACTGCAGTGTCAGGAGTGCATCATTCAGTGATAGTAGAGGTGAAAGAAGCAAAAGCTTTTTTTTATTTTCCTATTCCTGAGCCTTTTGCCAGGCTGTAGGTTTATGTGTAGGCAGTATGTTCATTTCAAGCTTCTCCCAGTAATAAACATCCAGGGTAAATTTAAGCATTTTTGTTTAGTGAGTTTAATCTAGAAGTTGCAAAAACTAGTTAATTACTACTGGCCTCTTGGTACAGGAATCTCAGGCACCCAGTGCGGCAGGGATTTTTGAGTAACAGTTGGGAGTGCAGCTTATGGATCCAGATTTGTTAAGTGCCCTATCACATGTATTGACTCATTGCATGGATGAGTGTTTTAAGATCTGGAAGTTAGATTTGAAACTATTTGACACAGATGCGACCCTGCTACCATGACTGCCATCAAACAGTAGCACCCCATTCTCCGAGAGATCTTGGGTCACATCTGTGATGTTTGAAAAGATGTGAAGATTCCAGTTGTTACTGCAGATATGAGGTGATCTGTAGTGAGCTGGTGACATTGGCTAGATTATCCACGTTTTCTTATTACCTGTGGAACTTCAGACCCTTTAAAAATCTGAGAAGGCTATATTGGCAGCTTCTGGGAATAAACCAGGGAGAGATTTTTTTTTTTTAGAATTTATCATGTCATTATTCAGTGGCAAGTGGTCAGTGTTGAGTAAAACTGCTTTACCTGCATAGCAGTCTCCTAGTAACATTCTTGCTCTGGGATCCATATTTCATGTTGGTCCCTTAATAGTCAAATACATTGGGTTCATTTACGTACATAGTCATAGTGACAAAGTGGTTCAGAAAATAAACAATCATTTTTTAAAACAAGTGGGTAAAGTTTTCCTTCTGTATCCTTGAGTAGAAAGTGTGATTTTTGTATTACAGTTAAGAAGGTAAAGATAGCTTCATGGGAAGGCTATAATTTCTAATCCTTTACATGTAAGTACACTCTGGAAATCTCCAGACAGTAGCTATCTTAGTGAAGCTAGTAAACGTCACACAATGTAGTTGTGCTGGTTTTCCACAAGGGACAGTTTTCTACTTCACAAAGCTATAATGTCATGCAAAGTTCATTTTACTGGTAAGCATCATTGAGCCAAAATTGAGTTCAGAACTCTGGGGAAAATAAATCTAAGCATTTATCTGCAGTACTATTTAAATTGGCTTGAAATTTTGAGTTCTTGGTTATCTTGCTCATTCATGTCTTGTTTGCTCTTGTCTGTTGTAGGGCTCCTAAAGGTTGAGAAGTTAGCCTTATCAGTGGGGGGAGGGTGGGAAATCTTAGCTGCAAAACTGATGAGTATTTATGTAATATGTAACCATTGCAGTCAAGAGAAACATAATGGCAGGAAATGTTTTTTTTTTTTTTTTTTTTTTTTTTCAAAATTTTTGTCTTTGTGAGTATTTTGCTCAAAACCATTTGTGATCAATCAGTACAGTAAATACTGCTATGTTATGCTGGTTTATAGCATCAGTTCAAGAGGCTTTCAAAAGCATACAATATTTCTCCTTAGTATTTCTGAAGATCCTGATTGCCTAATTGTTGCCTAGGCTGCAGTTAGAAATTTTTTCATTCTTCCACCATACTGAAGAGAAATGGCAATAGTCAAAAAGTATGTTACACCTGTAATGCCATCATGGATTTTAATGAATACGCACATCAAATGGTAGATGCTGGACTCATTTATTTCAAAGGTGTAATCTCTTATTTCAGTATGCCTACTGTGTATTTTGTAGTGTGTTTTTCTTTTTCTTCTTCTTCTTCTTTTTTTTTTTTTTTTTTTTTCCTGGAAGGAAATCAGAATTGATGACAGAAAATGTTCTTTAATAAAAAATAAAGGTTTTCTGATCAGGCTGTGTGTACTGAAATATTAAGTTCAAAAGTTAAAAAGAATTAAGTTAAAAAGTGCTAATAAGACTTACTAGGCTGCTTATCTGTTAGTCTTTCAAAAGGAATTACATGTGTATGTACAGCGTACGGCGTTTGTTTAACTTAGTAGATTATATTTACTTTGAAGTTTACATCTTGCTTAGAATATCTTTTTTACTGTAGTAATCTCAATCCTATATGATTAGCACTATAGGACTAGAAATACATTGAAATTTTAAATTCATACTGCTCTCTAGTGGGGAATACTTTCAATGCAAAAAGATGTATATTAATGCACAGAATGTATATAAACTAGGATGCCTGGAAAGTTTTTTAGAATAATTCATTAGAAGTAGTGCTATCATTAATATTTTAATCCTTGCAATGCTTTCATTAAAGATTGAATTTCTTAATTTATTTTTTTGTGGATGAATTATTGACTCTTTCTGGAGTGAACAAAATCCCCAGAAGGCATGGATGTTGATGGGATGTTGATGTATTGTTGCTACTTTCTCAGAAGTAGGATACTTTTCCTACTAGGAGAAACATGCTGTAGATCTGCTACAGAATTATCTTGGCTTTTCTCCTAAGCTTCCCCAGTTGCATAACTTCTTATGGGTGACTGAGGTTATAAAAATTACTGTAATTACTGTTAACATAATAACTTTGGTTTAATAACTACTTCCACGTTGTTTTTCTCTTGAATTTTGCTTTAGAATGAACTGTTTAGTCTGCTTTCTGTTGTTTTATACAGCTAAAATTCTCAATAATAAAGTTGGCTATGATTAAAAGCAGAAATAATAATGCTAATTGAAATGCTTTCAATTTGCAGCTGATGCAGACCTCTTCTCAGTGCCCAGTCTGTACTTTTTATTACTCTAGTGTTAAGTGAAAATGATTCTAGTTAGTTCAAAAGAACATGATATTAATTCATTAGTAATAAAATCAGAAAACTTGTTTTTATATCAGTATGTTTTCAGATTTGTATCTGTAGATAGGTTTGCCTCTACTGTTTGATTCCGATTCTGTAAATGTGTTTTAATTTATCAGAGAATAGCAAAAGTTTTGAGTTACTATTAATCACGTGAAAATTCCAACATATGAATCTCTCTCAAGAATGATTTGCACTGTTCTTAAACAATTGGATCTAAATCTGAGGGCTTGTTTAAACTTATTTTTAGATGCTGAACCTTATCTGGAGCTGAGATTAAAGAAATCTGTAGCCCATTTCTTGTGAAAGGATCTTTATTATCTCTAAATTATTTGTCAGTTAGAGACCATTGTGTTGTATTTAAGTTTGCATCATTTTTTTTTTTTTTTTTTCATGCAAAATACATATTAGATTATTTGGCTAGATCTTCATTTATTCATTAAGTCTGAGAGAACAAAGTAGTTTAAATATTTATATGCTATATAAAGATCTCATCAAGATGCTAAGTTGTTATAGCACATGGTAATCCTTGAATAGTAAATCAGTTTTTCAGAGCACAGTGCACTTCTGTGCAGTTTCTGCTCACCTTCAATCATGGAAGCTCATGTTTATGTTGACCTCACTTGAAGTTCTGCAGATGGGATTTTCGTCTCACCTTTGTACTAGTTTCAATTTGGTACTTACTGAATCTAAATTCTTCAATTTATCCTTAGCTTGCAGTTAAGATAAGAAAGAAATATAGCATGTTTATTATTTATCTTCAGATGTTTTTGAAGTAGTCAAGTTATACTGTTATTAGAGTTTGTTTTGAGATCATTCAAAGGAAGTGGAGCGAGAATGCTCAGAACTTGCTAAATACGTAAGCTAATTAATAAATTCAAGAGTTAAATCTGTGCAATTAGCTAACTAAAATGTAGGGATTTTATTTTTTCTTCTACTAATTAAACACATCAAAATATAAAAACATAGGAAGCAGAAACTGTATCTCCCCCACCCTGTTTAGCAAATTAGGCAAATTAAAAAATGTCTTGCATTTCTAAGTGCTATCAATAAAAAAAAAAAAAAAAAAAAAAAAAAATTACAGTATTTGAATGTAGAAGCGTACGTAATGAATATAACCATAGGTTGTCAGCCTCACAGCATTTAACTGTCCATATTTGTTGTTTATATTTTAAAAAATCAAAGTATTATGCTTCTTGACGTAGTTGTAGATAGAGGCATAAACTCTTTCTGCTATAATAACTCTTGTGTTTCTATGGTAGCAGCTGTGTACCCACTCCACTATTCATTCACTCAACGTCCTGGAGAGGACAGAGAAAGTAAGATGGAAAAATCTTGAAGGTTGACAGAAAGATAGGGAGATCATACTACTGATCATCTACTGTCAGTAATATGCCTGATACTGTTACAGAAAATAGACTTGGTGAAAATTAATTTAATTTATTCATGATTAAACCAGAGTAGCATAGTGAGAAATGAGGATGAGGAACGTTAAAATAGCTTTTCCCTTCCTCATCTTTTCCCACATGTTCAGTCCTTCATTCTCACCTCCTCAAAGCCTCCCCACGGCAATGGAGGGAGAAGGAAAATGAGGGTTGTGGTCAGTTAGTTATTAGAACTTTGTCTTTGTTGCTACTTGCTCCTCAGACTCTCTTCCTGATATAATGTGAGGTCTCTCCCATAAAGTCTTTAGAGTGATGCATTGTGCATACTTCCAGTATGTTGCAACTGTCCAAGCATTGCTCTGACATGGCTCCATATTACACGTTCATTTGAGTAGCTCTGAAGTTTCTCAAGTTACATAGCAGAACTATGAAACATAAACAAAAAGTAAAATAAATAAGCAGAAATTTAATATTAAACCAGAAAAAAAAAGTTTTTGGACTTTTACAAATTTGCAAATGTAGAAATACTTTTTTACATTAGTTTGCATTACTTATTAATAATTATTTCAATTATGCTCTTCCTCCCCAGAAAACATGAAGAAACCCTGGAGCCCTGACTTACTGGCTTCTAATCACTCGTACAATTTGGCTTTTGCATCCATCCCAGATGTCCCAGGCAGGGATAGTGAGAAAGAATTAGCAACTGATAGCACTGAAGAAAAGAAGGAGAGAGAAAAGAAGCAGACCAATTTCACTTTGTGCAATGTTTGTAATATTCAGCTGAACTCTGCTGCTCAGGCACAAATCCACTACAATGGTAAATCCCATCAGAAGAGGTTGAAACAGCTCAGCAATGGAAATCTCAAAAGTGATAATGGTAAGCATTAACCTCTGTATATCTTTGGCCTATGTAAGCTGTGTATATTCGTCCTTTTTTAAATTTTTTTTTTTATATGAGGCATGTGAACAGTTACATATACTCCTTGTAACACTGGCTATTTGGGAACTGTTGAGTCATGGCCTGAACCACTGATTGACCACCTGAGGCAAGCCCTGAGTCAGCCATGGGAGCACAGGTGAAGGTGATTCAGCTGTGTGTTGGAAGGGATGGAGCCTGGCTGCACCTCTCCTACGCCCCATTTAAGGGCTGACTGCCACTAGGGAAGGATCTCTTTCTGGAGATTCTTCCTTTGTGGAATCTTTCCTGCAAACCTAGATTTTTGGATACAGGTGAGCATTCCTTGTCTGTTTTGTATCTTTACTTATTTTCACCACGATAGTCTTTTCAGCTGTAACATTAACTGTAACACTGGCTTTGTTCTTGCAAACACCAAATAGGAAATATCCTTGACTTCATTATTTTTTCAGTGGTGCATACCTTTCTTTTTCAGTTCTTAGAGCAGGTAGAAATAGATCAGGTGCAAGAAAGCTGATGAACTTGGACACAAAGGGCTGAGCCTTAAATATTAAATCTTTAGTAATAAAAATATACCTTAAATATATAGTTTAAAGATATATCATACATATCTTTTTTTTTTCATTTTTAAAAACAGGGTTAAAACCAAGTACTCAGAACTACTTTTAGAGAATGGATTTAGTTGTACCCTTGTGACCTTGTACTATAGATAACCTTGCCTCCATGTGTGTAACACTGTTAAAAAGAAACTTATTATTGTTGATTTGAGATAACAGCTATGTTAACAACGTATAAGTATAAACCTTTCTTTTATTTAACCAAATCCTTTAATATTAATGTAAAGACTGACAGTGACTTCTGAGTACTTGGGATTATCACTAATGTGAATGTATGGCAAATAGCTAATCAATATACTCTCTGGTTTGTTCTAAGTATTTTGATTCTAGATTTTGTGTATGTGGTAATGTTGTATCAGATTCTTTGTCATTCTGTTTGCATTTTGATGATTTCATCTGTCATATTCCATATTTCACTGTTTACTAGAAAAGATACTCTCGGAAGGGGTGTGTTTGATTTTAATTAAAAGCAGTTGCCAAATTAACTGTGAGGAAAAACAAAACAAACAAAAAACTAAAAATTACACAAAACAAATATATTCTCAAAGTTGTTTAATTTTGTCTTTCGGTTTTCACTCCATACCTACCATGAGTCTGTTTAAGCCATGTCTACCATAAATCTGCTTAAATATCATAGTTAAAGTCAAAGGGAAATGGAACAAAACTTGTTTTATTTGAATCTATTTTGTTGATGGCTTTGGGAAAAGTATTTTGTAGTGTGTGGTATGTTTTCCATCATCAGAGTGAGGTTTTATGCCTCAAAGAAAATCATTTGTTTGAGTCTTTATGTACAGAAGTAGATCAGATCACTTGGCTTCTGACAAGAAAGGAGAAGATTTAATATTAAGTATCGTTCCCAATTTCTAACTTGTAGTGCTTACCTTTGCTGAAGTATGGGTAGTTTTGCACAGTCATGGTATGTGTTCTTATGTGCCATGTCATAGAAATTAGAGCCTTAGTAGGATGTACTTAGGACTTACAGACCTTTTCCTCAGATCTGCACACACATTCACTTTGTGCAGCAATTTTTTTTCTTGCTCATTTGCAGTAGCATATCCTTAGCAGTGATCCTTAGATAGGACTTAAGAAGTATTTTAAATTTTCTGTGCTTTGTCCTGACTTTAAGAATATGAGTTTGTTGAGAATAGTACCGGTACACTGCCGAAATACATTGCATGTGGATGCTTTGCTTTGAGAAAGATATTGCTTGCTTCCTCAAAACAAATCAATACAACAAAACTGAACAAACAAAAAAGCTAGGACACTGAACAAAATACATAATTTTGTATTTAAGTGACAGGACTACAGAGTCCTGTCACATAAGTATGTTTATGTTCATAGTTCAAGCTTAGAAGGAATACCACTATCATTAATAGGAGCTGTGCAAGTGAATAAGAAAGATTGATTTCCTAGATGCTTAAAGGTAAAATATGGTTATCCACAAATGTGTTTTTTTCTAAAACCAAATAAACAGTCTAGTGTTATTACTATCTTCAGGTAAGGTAAAATTATATTATCTTTGTTACTCGCACAGAAATTGTGGTAACGATAAACTATTGTTTTTCTGCAATTCATTTTTCTCCTTTATTCCGTGGCGTTGAAAGAACTAGCAACTAAGTAATACTGAAATTAGTGTCAAAGGGTTTCAATAATGAGACAACACTTCTATTTAGGGAATATCAAAGCAGTAGCCTAGGAGTGTGTTTCTTATTTCCTTCTTAGAAAGTGTCCCTAACTCGTGCAGGGCTGCGTGTGCTTGAAAGAAGAACACAATTGACATTTTCAAAGTCTTTTTCAAACACAATTTTGTTTCTAAGTGCAGTTATTTGTGGGTGGTTATCCAAAATCTGGCAAACCTTTGAGTATTGCCAAAACTAGCACTGTACTGAGAGAAGTATAAAAGGAAGTGAATGAAGAAGTGATTTTCCCATATCACTAAACTTTGAGACTTCATAGTCTTTAAACTGAAAATTACGAATGAGATAGCGACAAATATTTATATATATCTTCCTGAAAATTAAGCTGAATGTTTGAACTGAACTGCTAATTATTTGAATAGAAATTCACTGCTTATCTCTTATTTTAAGTCAAGTAGGAATCGGGATCTGACAAGCCTTCTGTAGTAACAGGCTCTGTCAAAATCAGTGTATGTAAAATATGAGTACTGTTTTTCAGATTTTGTTGATGAGACCCTAGCAAGCTTGAGTGACATGACTCTGCCTGAAATAATTATGAATTGACCCTTTGAGTTTATCATGCGTACATAAACGAAGAAAGCTTTTGTTTTATTAGATTGTTTTAAAATCTTCATTGTCAGTAGTTTATCTTGTGTAGAATGACAGAAGTGCTTACACTGCACAAGTGCTTACACTGCTAGCCTTCAACTACAGTGGTTCATGGACTATACTATGGACTGTATGTGTTTTTGCAAAGTTGGGTGCTCTCAGGGATAGTTACATATTTGAAAAAGTTGGGGGGAATATATTTGTGTGACTGTTTCAGGCTTTATTCCATCACTGAATGACTCCCACAAAGATGGAAGGGTAATAGAAATGGAGGATTGATTTATCTGAATCAACAGTCTGTGTTTTGTTCCCAAACTATGAACTGCTAATGGGAGGTAATATTCAGCTCTATTAGCATCTGACAGCATAAATACAACTATCATGCTATAGTCATCATCTTCAAACTGTGTGAAGTAACTTTTACCTGCTGGCTGTAAATGATAGAACAGTTCTGTGTAGTTTCGTAAAGTAAATTGCTCAAGCAAAATGTCTATTAACATATACAAAAATGCATTTAATAAACAGCGTTCATTGTTGCATTGCCTCCTACGGTACTGACCTAAAACCTATGGATCTAAAAGCAGCATCACCGTGGTGCTATTTTGTTATCAATATTGAATTTGAAAAACCAGATACACTCTAAAAAGTTTTGGTATCAAATTTGTTTTTCAGCTTGACTGATTTGCAATTTGAGACCCACTCAGTGCCTTTTTGTGGCACTGCAGCTTCAGAACAGCACATCATGAGGAGTCATAAAAATGAAGTGGTGTAGTAATAGGGGTTTCCTGTGTTATGACTTGATGCGGTGATTTAGGGTAACTTGATAGGGTATGAAGAAACCTCAGCCTGCTACTGAACTCTATGTATTTGAGAGTAAAACAATTTTTTGGTGTTCCTTTCTTTTAATTACTGCCTTATGTGACACTTAAAAATGTATTTCACACTTTGTTCAGTACATCATGCAAAGTATTTGTTATTCCTGGTTATTTTTATTTTTCCTTGTGAATTCTCCTATACTTATTAGAAAGGTGACAGGTAATTTGGTATCAAATTTGAGTAGGTTTTAGGATTAAAAGTGGGTAAAATGTATTTCCAATCTAAGCCACCAAAGTTGTTTCACTTGTAATAAAACCAGTCTGGACATTCTGGGAGGAGGTAAGCTTTTGTGGGAAATAATTTTTCCTGACCAGCAGGACTCAAGACTCAGTGTTCTATTGATGGGATAGGACTAACTGTGGGTGCAAACCTATAGCAGGGCCAATGAAGAAGCTGATATTTGTAAAATTTCATGTAAACCATAATTTTCACTGTGCTTCCTGTAGTGTAAATTACTGAATAATTATGCATGAATGAGGCTTGCTTAGAAAAAAAGCAGAAACAGTTGTTACATTATATATAAAGTAAAAACACAGTGAAAGAACCAAGAAATGCCACAGAATTCATGAAATTCTATTAACTTGGAAAAATGTTCTATGAAACACAGTCCAGTTAAATATTTCTTTAATAGTTTCTTTAAATAGTTTCTTTATCTAGGTCTGTGGTTATTTACTATTTTATTTCACAACCCTGACAAACAACTATCCAGTTTTAGTAACTTTCAATAATGTCGTCTTAAATGAAAGCTGCCTACAGCTTATTTCAATGAAACTTTACCTTAATAGAATTATATTGTATTGAGAACAAGAACAGTGAGTGCAAAAAATAAGGGGAAAAGATCAGATTAAATAATGAAATACTCTTTATACTTTACTAATTACAAAAAGAAAATGTTTCATTTCAATGCTAGATGTTACTTAAGAATGAATAGTAATTTGACTTTCACACTTACACTAATGTATACACTGAGAGTAAAATGTGCTTATCAGACTTCATTTTCAACCACATTCATTTGTTGAGATAATTCTGTAATATCAGTTCAGTAGATATTAATACTCAGGTCAAGGAAAATATTTGATCTTTCACAACATTTTTTGCATCCTAAAACCTGATAGGATATCTAGAAGATCCACCTGAACTGCTTGCAGTGCCTCTTTCCTAGCACTTTCCTGTTGCCAGTTGT